TCGCTGCTATATTACACAATATGATTTACATACTCGATATATGCGTAATCAAATGCCTTTGTAATACATAATTTCGTAATATATGGAACATCTCTTATATATACAGGACAGTACCTTTTTCTCTTCTGAATGTAATAAGTTTCTATTTATTTAGCCTATTGACAAGCTTTAGTGTTATCAACAAAACAATTTTGGTAACAGTTCGTTTTTTTTAATATAGATAAATGGAAATTCTATTAATTTACGTTTTTTTTTAATTTGAAATCATGATTAGATAGTAATACGTACTCATATATGTAACTAAATAATACGATTATTTATATACTTGTATGTACAGATGTATTGTACCCACGTAGTTTTTTTTATATATACATACATACGAGATATTTCTTGCAATATTATAAAGAGGAATGATTTGTTTTGTTAATTGATAAGTTCTGAAGCTACTGAACTGGTTTTAATAATTTAATTCTTGCGCCTTTGGAAAGCTAAATCCAAAAGTCAAAAAGCAGCTTGGAATTTTACTTAGGGCCTCTAGTCCATATTATTGAAAACTAACAAAACTAGGAAAACAAAAACAAATCTATCCCACGGGAACCGTACATTTTTCCGGGATAAAAAAGTAGCCTATGTGTTATTCCAGACTATAATCTATCTTTGTGCCAAATTTCATCCAGATCCGTTCAGCCAGAATCCGTTCAAAGAGTAACAAACATCTATACTCACAAACTTACACATTTATAATATTAGTATAGATTTTGAACTTAATTTATAAAATATTTCGTCATAAAATAAAACTGATCTGTAATAGTAATTAAGAAGCTATTTAATATAGCTTATGACTATTTAAGTTGTCATTAGTTAACGATTTCTTCATTATAGTGGGGCATTCCTCTTTTGTTTTACAACAACAATGTTAATGAATTTAAAAGGTTAGAACTTTGTTAAATATTTTTGAAGTTATACTTCTTTTGGCACGTTTATAAAAAATAAATAAATATTTTGGGACATTACACACAGCACCATCTAGATCCATGGTAAGCTACGAGGCCTGTGTAGTTTAGGCCTTTAGTTTATACCACTTTTTTATGTGAATCATTTGATACAAAGACTCAAGTAGATTCAATATATCTTGATTTCTCCAAGGCGTTTGATCGAGTAAATCACACAATACTATTATCTAAGGCTAGCCATCTGGGCATACATGGTAATCTTTATCGTTGGCTATGCTCTTATCTGGATAGCCGTTCTCAATTAGTAGCTCTATACGGGTATGAATCATTTCCATTTCTAGCCACCTCTGGTGTACCACAAGGATCTATTTTAGGCCCTTTGTTATTTTTGATATTTATCAATGACCTACTGTCTTTGATAAATAGTGAATGCCTCGCATATGCTGATGATATAAAAATCTTTTTCCAAGTCACTAAAAGAGAAGATTGTAAAATTCTTCAGCGTGATCTCGACTCTATCCGAATGTGGTGTGATGAAAATTTGATGGAGCTTAATAAAAATAAATGTTATATCATTTCATTTACAAAAAATAAAGTTCCAATATCGTTCGACTACAACATAGCAGGCACCGTTATTTCTAGAGTCAAAGTAGTACGGGACCTAGGTGTTATATTTGATTCAACCTTATCTTTTAGGCCTCATATAGATTACATTACAAGTAAAGCAAATAGATCACTCGGTTTTATCATCCGAACTGCCCAACCTTTCAAAAATTCAATCTCGTGGATAGTTTTGTATGTCACTATAGTAAGAAGCATACTTGAATACTGCTCTTCCGTATGGAAACCAATATATGATATTCATATTAACAGAATCGAGGCTATACAACGTAAATTTCTAAAAATATTAAGCAGGGCAAGGTCTCAGGCGTGAATTACCAACTTACACTGACAGACTTCATAAATACAAACTAAAAAGCCTGGAAGATCGGCGTGTTATATCAGATTTATGTATCCTCCATAAAATAGCCAATGGCGATTTCAACAGTAAATTACTAGAAAAACTGGAATTTAAAATTCATACTCACTCGATTCGTCAGCCACAACTTTTTAATATACCTTCGGCAAGTAATAACGTTTCCCAAAACAACCCTTTACACAGAATGTGTAAAACATACAATAGTTTAAATGATGAATACGACATTTTTAATAATAGTTTATTATCGTTCAAGAAAAAATTAAATAAATTATAGTTCTTACTTTACATTTTCGATAATAAAGATATATTTTCTCTCTGTTTCTTCTCCTTTATCTTTTTTTCTTTTCTTTGCCTTTTTTTCCACATGAAATGTAAATATTATTTTGTTTTTGTTTTTTAATATTTCTTATGTACTCGTTACTTTAAATGCACAGACTCATACTGTATTAATTCACTTTTTTGGTTAAGTTTCTTTATATAATTATTATATTTTTTCATTTGAATGTTGTGTACAGACATAATTGGAGAACAAATTTAATATGATATTTTTAGTTTTTAATATGAAGATGTAATTTTTTTAATTTGTTTTCTGTTTCTGTACCTAAATAAATAAAATAAAATAAATAAAATAATAATATAACTTTAAATACATACATATTACCTATAAATATAAACACCCATGACTGGAGTATAAACATTCGTCATCAAACAAATGATCATCACACAAATGAATGCCCCCAGTGGGATTCAAACCTGCGACTGCTGGCACAGTAAGTCAAACTTGTCGTCATGTGATATATAATAATGTGAATGAGAATAAAAGTTTTACGATACGCGCGCACACCGACAGCCAAAAAGCGACATGATGAAGTTAGCTGCATTCCTTTTACAAACAGAGAGTTGTGACATACGGGATGAGATCTGTAACTATTTTTGTTCTGTTACGCCAAAGAAGTATAACTTCTTACGAGCGTACATAATTACACACACACGTTTTTTTTAATTTATTGTTTGGTAAAGATTATAAGCCCTTCATATATTTTAAGATAGATTTGTTAATTATGATACACCCATCCAGTTTACAAACACAATATTACTCACAATGAAATCATTAGAATAAGCGTCATTATGTCTTAAATTGTATGATTCATTAAATTATTATTATTTAACAATAACTGGGTAAGCCACTCATTGCTTTGTTAATATTTTTGTTCCTTCATCCTATTCCAGTTCTGCAAACATCTTTCATTTTTATTTTTAAGCTGTTGTTATTTTTTTTTTTTATATTGCTACCTTTATCTCCTCAAATATTACGTATCTAGATAACGTTTACGAGATACTTTATCTATGGTAATCTGCTTTCGAGTTAGTTTTTGAATACATGTCACAAATCGCATTGTGAATATTCGTATATTAAAAATAACTAAAACCGGCTAACATTGAGTCCTATTAATATAGTAAATGCTAAAGCTATGTATGTTTGTTACTCTTTCACGCAAAAACTACTGAATGAATTTTAATGACACTTTACAATAATATAGCTCATACATCAGAACAGTTCTTTGTTGTGTACTTTAGTAACGTTAGCTAAATATACATTTAACTAGCGGCTAACCGTCGTTTCGCTTAGGTTCGCTCTAGAAAAACAAAAGCAAATGTATCCCTCGGGAACCGTTTATTTTTTTGAGATAGAAACGAAAATATATGTGTTATTCCAACTATAATCTATCTCTGTGCCAAGTTTCATCCAAATACGTTCAGCCGTTCTGGCGTGAAAGAGTAACAAACATTCATACATCCCTACTCACAAACTTTCACATTCATAATATTAGTTTAGATTTTATTAGGACTTTTTATTCTTCAAAATATTTAATAATCAACACTTGACCAGACTTCACTTCAGCCATTTACGGGGAAGAGCGTATACTAAGCAGCTACAGCTAGGTTAATTAGGCACTTTAAATATTAACATACTTTTAAAGCACCGACTGCAAAAAACCCAAGTACAGAATAAAATTCCATATTCTATATAAAATTAATATTTTTTTAATAATAATAATAACTATTTATATTTAAATAGATATATTAAATAGGACAATAAATATAAGACATGTAAATAACAGTTCATTTGTAAACTGGACATGCATATATTAATTATATAGGCGTTTAACTTTGGAGCGCGCGATCTTCTGAATATTAAATATAGTATATGTAACCTTTTTAAATCAATCACGTCAATGCAACTCAAGGTTTGTACCTCACTTCTTAGTTACATGAGTTTTTATTATGGTTCTTAAAAAAAATAAAAAAAACGTAAGCCTAAGAATAAAACGGAATAAAAAGGAGTCTCTACAGTAAGCTCTACATATTGTGTGAAAGTAAACCTCTTTGAACTTTATAAGACCAAAAAAATTGCTATTTTATCTAATATTCTACCTTATAATTTTTTTACGCATTTCTATATTACCAGTAGAAATTTAACATTCCTATACCATATTTGCAATCACTTAAAAAGTGCTAACATAAATAACTACCTACCTGTTTGTTTGTAAACAATTCGTTTATCTTGCAATATATCATACAAAAACATATGACGATGATTAGAAAAATTTTAAAACAACAATCCTAATAATAAATAAAGGCTTGTGCTGATTTTATTATAAAATAATTTTATTGGGCATGTTTTTGTTAAGGCAAATAACTCTACTGTGAATGAGGAATGAAGATGTTTCAATTTTTACTTCACTAACCTTAGGTAGTTATTATTAACTTGATATCAATAGAGCTGTTTGTACGTACAACTAGATTATTTATATATTTATATTTAATCTAAATGTTTGTAGCTCATTTGCTCATCAAAAGCTAAGTAGACACTTGTATAAGGCAGATAATGTAGCAGTAATATATTATTTTCATTATAAGCAGTAATAGTACTAAATTAAAGAAAACACGTCTGATGTATTGAGCCAAAGAGAATAAGCTTTACGCCCCTAACTATAATTGAGCACTAAAATTTATTATAAAATATAAAAAATTAAAAAAAAAAATTTTTTACTTAAAAAACATACCTCATCTTCCTCATCATCATTGTAAAAGGGATCCAGCAGCGAATTCTTCCAGTATATTACGTCTGGGGGGATCGCGTACGCATCGTGATCCCTTAAATTTGCATACAAGGGACTCTCCCTACCGACCCCCTCGGAACTAGCACTTATGGAACAACTCTCCACTTCTACACTGCCACCACAGGAGCACCCTTCGTCTGTGTAACTGTACCCATATTCGATCTCCTCATAAATATTTTCGTCTGTTATCGCATCGCGCACTGGCTCGTAACCATCGTCGCACGGCTTGTCCGGCGTCATTGCGTCGACTGACTCGCACCTGTCTCCCACCTCAGTCAAAGCGTAAACAGAGAACGGCTGCGGCGAAAAGTCGCTTGCCGTATCGAAAGACAATCGCGATATAGTAGCCCTTTGTTGCGCCTGCGACAAAACACGCCGCAAAATCTCATCCGAGTTGTGATAGCCGCTCGAATGCGACCAAACAACTGCGTATGCATCTTTTGATACGTCATTTTCAGTATTTTCATTACATTCTTTGTAACTCCAGCACGTACTCTCAGAGTCGCTGTCAGATACTATATTTTTTTCAGAATGTTCTTCAAATTCCATATTATCGTAAATCGACGGCGATGGAGTCCTCATCCTCTTTTTTCTTGGAGGTACAGGTGGTGCAGGTTTCCTTACTATTTTCTCACTCTGTGCCGGTGTGTTCGTTGCGAACGAAACATCCGATAATGTAGATTCACTATCACTGTTTACAATGTTATTTGTCACTCTTGGTTTTATCACTTTGGTTTCGATTTCTACTTGGTTAACTTGGTTTATTCCTTCTAAACACTCATCGAACATATTAAGAATGCTTAGAGAGACTTCTTTTTCAGAGGGAACGAGATTTCTTTGGTATTCATCTAGCTTATAAATTTCTTTGCCTAGTTGTGAAAGTATTTCATCGAAGGCCCCGTCTGAGCCAGAGTCCTGTGACGCAGCTGACGGTGGTCGGACAACGACGAGCGGGTCGTACTCTTCGATGGAGGCTCGTATCGAGGTGAGCCACGCGATTACAGGCTGCGCGGAACGGTCGCGAAGTGTTTCCACCACGGCGTGCGGAATCCAACTTGTGACCTCACACATAATGCCGCTCACTGCAAAACACGATAACCGGTGTATGAATCAACCGTGGGATTCCGCGAACGCTCGTCCCTTAACTCTGCACACCGTTACTATGTATGTTTGAACGCACGGACCGGTCTCACTCCGCGATATCGGCGACATTTGCACTCTCCCGATTACTTATCGTGATATTTCTTCCTAATGTAAACATTATAGCATCCCGCAAGACCCATGACCTTAGATAGATAATAGCCAGATTATTTTATAAATAAAAAAAAAACAAAACACGGCACAATAGATTCGAGCGTTTGCTTTGTTATTGGTTACGTCAAACTGACGTGAGTTCGCGCGGTTTTTGAGATATAAAAGTCGAGCGTTATAATAGTGCGGTACGTCCGCGCGCGGCCCGGCCACTGCGATAGTGGTGTACCGTCCAGCAATTAATACGAATCGTTCGTTCAGAGTCTGTGACCGATATTCTGCGTTATTTCTGTTGCGTGGCGTAACCGCACTAAAAACTAAAAGCAAATGCAATGTGCATTAGATAAATGAAACGGATCGGGCGCCGGGACGCACATGTCCCCAACATCGGTCCGCTATCCCATTTTCACGGTCCGTTACAGCTTATTTGAACACTTATCTCTGTTTACATACTCGCTTTACTAATATGTAAATAATAAGTGAGGAAAACGTTTACAATAATGTAATGCAATATCAACAGTTTCACAATGTGCTACATACGTATATATCATATATCCAATAATACTAATAACAATATAATATTATATATATCGTACAGCAACAGTATAGAATTGTGTTTTAGTTTATTTGAATTAAGTATTATTAAATTGTAGTTACAATTCAATTAAATTATTCATAATATAACGAATAAATATGTATATATAAATATTTTCCTTATTAATTTATTATTATGTTCACAAAAAATAATTCGTATTAATTGTAACCGAAACTAGTTAAAATATCACAGATTAATCATAATTTGTTGTTTTTTTTTTCAACAGGAACACATTTTACCCTCTATGGCTAAACCATAGACAAGAAATAAGAAGCTACTAACAATACGTAGCACCTATACAAAAGTTAAAAAAAATATAGCTTGCTCTATAACTTTTTAAATATAGATATCGCATGCGAGAAGATAAAGCAATAGTATTTTACCATAAAAAAAATTTCAACGTAAAACAGTCCATTTCGATGTAAAATTGCATTCTTTTAATTTTAAACATCAAGAGATTTTAACCTACTTTCTACAAACAAATTGGTATGCGGCCCTTTGTTGGGGGCCCGCTAATGAGCGTACAAGGAACCTCTGAAGCTAATATAAAGCGAATCCATTCATAAGAAACTGAAATATTGCGTTTAAATCAAAATCAACCTTTAAATTTATATACATAAAGTTCAATTTATTTGGTGTCATTGTGTAGTTAAGCTATTTTTGATGGAATTTTGTTTGAATGGCTACTGTTTGGCACATGTGAAAATATCGTGTTTCCATCGATGGTATGCATTTCCTCTATCTGTGGAAATATTTTTAGCTTTACTTTGTACTATGTCTGTGCCCTAACAGTGCATATAGCTCTATTTTACGACCTTACCCAATATATGAAGCTATAACTTATTCAGAGAACTCTACCTTTCCTAGACTGTAATAAAATGTTCGAAAATAGCTTAAATTTTGTTTTCTTAAAAATATTATAACTATAATAAAAAACAGTTAATAAACTATATTCAGACCGATATGAAATACATACTAGTCACTTGCTCTCGCTTTGCTCATGTGCGTTTCTATGTGCCTAACAGTATCCTGTTAGTTGCTCCAGGTCTTGTTTATCAACAAAATTTCATCCAAATTTGTTCAGACATTTCAGCGGGACAAAAAACAAATATAAAAATAAAACCTATACAAACATTCGCATTAATAATAGCAGTACATCTTTATACATATAATAAAATTGTAACTAAGCCGAATCTGTACATTAAATATTTTTTTTTTAAATCTTATTGAAAAAGACATTATTATCAATCAGAGGCCGAATCTATAGTTTTTAGAATTTTTGTCTGTCTGTCTGTGACCGCATCACGGAAAAACCACTGGATGGATCTTGATGAAATTAGGTAAGATGATAGCTGGTTATCCGGGTCAACATATACGGTACTTTTTACTGCGGGTAAATATCTCATCTCTGGGAAATCTATACTAAACGTAAGTAGGGACGAACCCGAGCGAAGTGAAGGGTGAGTCGCTAGTAGTGTTTTAAATATACACCCAGCATAGTCCCAACAACTATATACATATAACAGTAAAACTATATATATGTATATGTGTCTGTGTCAGCGAGGTCTCGGTCCGGTCACTCGCCCAGAGCAGCTGCGAGGCAATTCAGCCAATCAACACAAATTACTAATTGCGCTAAATGGTTATATTTGTGATGCGTGTTTTTTCTTTTCCATTCATTCATCATATTCATTACTTCTATTGTCCTTCTTTTAAGCAGCGACGGACAGTCATATCGTGTGACTTCTTACATAGTGTTGGAAAATTATATTATAAGCTATAGTACTATTTTACACGTTGTCAGATTCACATATATCAATACATATAATAAAATTGTAACAAAGTCGAATCTGTACATTTAATATTTTTTGGAAAATCATATTGAAAATAAACATTATTATCGATACCGAGGCCGAATCTATAGTTTGTAGAATTCTATCTGAAATTCTGTCTGTCTGTCTGAAAAATATCTCATTTCTAGGAAAAAATACAAAAACTGCGATCTAAACGCGGGCGGAGCCGCGGGCAGTGCTAGTTAGCTATATTAATGTGACATAGGATAGTAACGACGTATAAAAGTACATATCATAAAAAAGTTACGAAAGAAAATCCAGGTACAGTTAGGGCCTTATCAAAAAGGGATGCTAATTATAATTAAATCTGTATTATAATATTATACATATACGCGAAAGTTTGTGAGGATGTATGGAAGTATGGATGTCTGGATGTATGGATGTCTGGATGTATGGATGTTTGTTACTCTTTCACGCAAAAACTACTGAATGGATTTTAATAAAACCTTACAATAATATAGCTCATACATCAGAATAACGAATAGGCTATTTTTCTCCGGAAAAATTGGGATAGATTTGTTTTGTTTTTTAAGTTGCAAATATAACATCAAAAGTCATAAATTAACAAAGAAAATTATATATTCTGTAAAATATATAACTTACAACAGCAATTAGAAACACTATATAACACTGTCACGACAAGATATTAGAACAAGAAAATGAAGACTACTACAACGTGACAAGACGCCATATTTATTAATAACTAATGGTATACAGATAATTAAAATAAAATGGTGTAGAAAAAATCATCATCACTTATGACTATGTAAATGATGAACACGCAGACGAGTCCTTAATGAACTTAAAAGTATCTATATACAATATACATATATATGTATGTACGTACGCGTTATCTTTCGGCTTTAAACATGCGGGCAGGCAGCTGTGTCCTCCATGAATGTTTTAATGCTTCATATCAATTGATAGCTAAAAAGTTACGATTCGATTCGGTTTGTTATTGAATTTTTATATGGGGTTATCAATATTTTATATGAGATGTGACTTTATAGCGGCAATGGTAATGCTTTTTATATTTTTATTGATTTCTGGCTATGACTTGACTTATATATTGACTTACTGACTGAAACAGCAAAATACAAGCTTCTGAAGGACTGTTATATTTAGAATTCGTCCAAACGAATCAAATGAGCCCAATTTCTATAGTAAGGTACCTACTTGTAACCATTGAAGACTTGAAGATCATATATGGGATTGATGTTCTCCCGACCGATCCCGGCCACGGCGGCCCATCTCATTGAGACTAACCAACTGCGCAGGAGATATTATAGTGCACAAGTGTACGCGCAGACACAACGTGCACTCTCTATTCCTGTCACTCTCATACTCCGGTGGGACGACCACTCGACACGACCAGTGAGAGTTAAGGCGCAGGACCGACGGCTTTACGTGCTCTCCGAGGCACGGGGGTGAAACACCGCCAACTTCCCAACTCCAGGCTGTTACTGAGGCTTACTATACAGAAAGACTCAATAACTAAACTTGGCCCGACTCGGGACTCGAACCCAGGACCTCCGGGTATGCAGCCGTACATGCTAGCCACAACACCACCGAGGCAGTTAAAATATAGGTATAGAGCATAGGGCTCCTATGCTCTGCTCTATGATATGCTCGTATGATAGGAGCATCCTAGCTCATCACGTTATCTAGTATGGCTAGAATCATTGAGATTGGCCGCCGTGGCTTGCCAATCTGTCTTCTCCGCTCTACATGACACTGGCGAAGTAAATTATACTCACTTGATACTTGCTGAATTACACACCTATGTTTTTATTTCAGACTTACCTGTGAACAAAAAAATGGTAGCTATTAAAAAATTTATAAGGAAAATATTCTTAAAAACGTTGGGGTTAAAAACCGGACATGACAAAAAAAATCAAAATTTAAATCTTACTTCTTACTAGGTATCATAAATGTGAAAGTTTAAATGGATGTTTGGCTGTTTGTTACTCAATCACGCCAGAACGGCTGAACGGATCTGGATGAAATTTCGCACAGAGATAGATTATGGAATACTTTTTATCCCAGAGTACAGTTTCCGTGGGATAGGTTTGTTTCTGTTTAAAATAAGATAACTATTTTTAATCTGTCTATTGAATGGAGGCCGAATAATAATTATTTATTATTTATTTTATTACGAATTGTCTTAAAAAAATCTTGAAGAAAGTAAACCGTTTGTATTTCAAATTGCTATTCAAATAGTCTAATATACGCACATATAACACAAATATATAGAATTGGAAGAAACGAAAATAAATAAAGATAAGATAAAAGTTGTACTACAAAACCGACAGTCTTGCATATTTAATACTACCAACATAAATAATAATTATTTTTCCAATGCATTGTTTGCA